CCCTCCATCTCAAAAAGTATGGTAGCTAGTAAATGATGTGAATTTCTAATTTAAACTAAAAAAAAAGTTATTTTTTTTACAATAAAACTAACTTATTTTTTTTTCTATGTAGTGTTAAATTCTTCAAAACAATTTGCAAGGAACCTCCCATGTATTTTTGAAAATTTGGTTACTGGTTATAAGGATAAAGGCTTAAGGGAATGTGAAACAAAAAAAACACAAAAATGGCGGCATGCTAGCAGTCAGGAAGCTGCTAACCGACTTTCTCTTTACCATAACTTTTTTCCTGAATTGGCTTCTCTTCAAACGTCTTTAGAAACATACTCCTTATGCGAAAAACATTATAATCAGATTGTAGCATCAACCCATTTTTACCAATTTCTTTTAAATCCTAATCAAACTGTTCAGAATTATAACCCTAACAAAAAAAGGTCACGGCGTAGTGTTGACAGTCAATTGGAAGTACATAAAACATTTGTTAGTACTTGTAATATTGGAATTCAAGTTCCCGATGTTGATATTGTTGATATTAGAACTCATGACATTGGTATTCAAGTTTCTGTAAACGAAATATTAAATAATATGATTGGTCATTCAGATTTTTTAGAACAACTTCAAAAAATAGATTCTGAGCAAAAAACACAATATATTTTAGAACTTATAATTCATATTCAAGAGCAGCAAAAACAATTAGAAAATCGGAGGTTAGAATTAGCAGAATTGTCACAACAGTTATCTGAAGCTTATGAATTTGTAATTGAAAGTCATAACCAATATCAAGAGCAATGTAAGCGGAATCAAATTCTTACTCAACAATGGAATTCCCGATTTAGTAGTCAAGAAAAAAGGATTGATGCTATCATTGAAATTGCATTAGCCGAACGTGAAAATTTATTTAATGATATTAATTCATTAATAAATAATGTTGATAGATTTTCATTAGAAAATCTTATGTATTATACACCCCAAACCTGGCTTAGCCAACGCAATCAAGTAATTGTTAAATTTATTGAAACTTTAACTCAAAATAATAATAATATTTATGGATCGCGTCAAGAAAAATTTTTTAAAAGAGCAGTTGCAGTTGATGCAATATATGGATCACGTCATGGAAAATATGTATCAGAGATTAACCTCGTAGCATCAGCTATAAAATACTCAATAACACGTTCAAAAATGGTCATTGATATAGACAAACATATTACAAGTGGAGGATGTTATAGTCAATTTCAAAAGTGGTTAGATCGATTATCAAAAGAACAAGAGCCTTTACCTGATGGACTTTTATTTATTGCTTTTGATAATGAACAAAAAGGACAGAAAAATTATCTTGATCGCGGGTTTAACACTGTAATTTTTCATACTGTCACTAGTTTTGTTGCATTTAATATAGAATCTCAAAATAAAATACAACATACCGATATTCCTTGGTTAAATAGACATCTTACCAAACTTGATTATGAAGAACTTTTTGATCTTTCACCTCAAATGCAAAAAGAGATTGATAAAGAACTTTATATTTATCTTTCTGAAATTATAGATTTGTTATGTAAAGAAAAATCGGCTTTAACTAATGAAATTGATATTCTTATGGAAAATATTATATCAAATAATGGTCATAACAAATATTGCTCAAATTGTAATGAAAAAAATATTGAAAATAGAAAACAAACCTGTCCTAAATGCCGATTCCGATTACCTACATTAATAGAATTACAAAAATCAAACTTGGTTTTGGAAACTAATCTATTGAATGAATCAATTAAACAACCTATCTTTAAATCTCATAGTTTTAAAAAGGAATCTAAAACATCAACTACTGTTCCACGAATAAGTATTACTCAACGATTAACTGCTGATCAAGATGTTCGTATTCCCAAAATTTATATTCCCGATCCTTTAAATGTTAATCCTAATTCAATAGTAAATGTTGAAAAGGTTTTTCAACATATAGAAAAAATATCAGGAATTCAAGATGGATTGCGTAAATGGATGGTAGTAGTGTGTGACGGAGTTCCATATCATCATGCTATCAAAATAAAAAATAAATTTCCTTGGTTAATTATTATACCCAGACAATTGCATGAGGAAATGAATATGTTACGAGCATATGTTGAATTAAACTGGTAAGTTTAATATAATTATTACTTATAATATATAATATTTTTAAATCAAACTAATATTATTATTTTAATATTTAAATTTTAGGGAAATCGATCTTAAACAATTTGCAATACGTCAGGGATATCGAAGTGAAAATCAACTTGCTTTTTTTAAAAAATGTGGAGATCATCATAAGGCATGGGATTCAATTTGTAATATATATCGTCAAGCAATGTCTTTAGAACTTGTATGGCCATATGTAAAAAATGAAACTAATCCATCAGTTAATGGATATTTATCTTGGATTAAAGAACAAAATGATCCGATTTATCAAATTAAATATGAACAAGTAATTATTTTATTTATTATTGTAAATTATTTTATATAATAATTTTATTATTAATAATATACTATATATT